TGGTCGCTGAGGAAATACATCAACTTCGCGCTGTCGATCGCCGGATCGGCTTTCACCGTAGACGAAGCAGAGTCCAGCCCGGGGTCGTCACATGTGGTTGCTGCAAGCCCGCCGGCCACTCTTTTGTCGAATCTGCCGGCCGCCGCTCTCTCAAGGCCGCCGTGTGTGACGCTGTGTTTTGTTGTGAAAGCGAAAGCATCATATGACCCCTTTAACATTTTTCAAATGGCTCACCAGTGTGTTTACAGTGTATTCTTTTACTAGGAATATACACAGTGATTTATTTGAAATCAAAGTTTTTCATCAGTGGTCCCCACAATTCACTGCAGTTAACACTAGTGAAAATAAGTACAAGCCAAATGTTTTATTTTTTTATTCTAGCTATAACTATGTTGTTAAATATGTCTAAATATAACTATGTTGTTAAGGCTGAATTCTGATGGACAGACAGACAGACAGATAGACAGACAGACAGACAGACAGATAGACAGACAGATAGATAGATAGATAGATAGATAGATAGATAGATAGATAGAATAACCCAGGTTTACTTGCTATCCTCCAGTTACTTTAGTGCGAAATGGGTAGGTTTAGGTAATGCAAGTCGCAGCGTCAGCATGACTTTGCATGTGTTCTGTAAACAGGGAATCCTGGGGGAAAGATTTACTGCACTGCCCGCAAACAAAGATTGTGCCCTCTCCATGCTGCTTCTGATGCTTCCTGAGTGCTGCAAGGTGGCTGAATGACATATCGCAGCTTTGGCAGTGATAGGAGCGCTCAGCTGCGTGAATACGCTGGTGTCGCATTAGCCGGGACGCCGTGGCGAATGCCACCCCACACTCTGAGCACTTGTGTGGCCGCACTCTGCTGTGAACTGTGATATGTTCAGCGAGGTTGGAGGACTTGGTGAAAGCTTTGGAGCAAACGGAGCAGGTGTAGGGACGCACGCCGCTGTGGATTTTCCTGTGCTCTGTCATGCGACTGGCCAGGGCAAATGCTTTCCCGCACTCCGGGCAAACAAAGGGCCTTTCACCCAAATGCGTGCGCTCGTGACGGAGAAGAGACAGGGGTTTGTTGAAGGTTTTGCCGCACTGCTTGCAAAGAAACGGCTTGTTGTTGGTGTGCATGTTGCGCTCGTGCTTCCGCAGGTCTGAGGAACGCACAAAATCCTTACCACATTCCTCACAGATGTACGGCTTCTCTCCGGTGTGCGTTCGGATGTGTTTGCGGAAGTCAGAGGACCAAATGTAGCTTTTCTCACAAAATGGGCATTGGTACGGTCGTTCGCCCGTGTGTAGCCGCTTGTGCTGCTGAAGAGTTCCTTGGTGCGAGTAGGCTTTCCCACACAGGTCACAAACATGTGGTTTAAGACCTTGGTGAGTGTCGATGTGGCTCAACAGGTTGCTGGACTTTTTGAAAGCCCAGCTGCAGTACGGGCACTTGTATGGACGGTTTTCCGTGTCTCCCTCCATTCCTCGCTTCTTCATGGCTGCAAAGGCAAAATGATTTTTTAAAACCTGCTTCTGAGAAGAGTTCAGGCTGTCCGCTTCGTTTCCCTCAGCCTCGCATTCATCCGCCACAGTCTCCTTCTGATCTCTTGGAAGCGCTGTCAGTTCACGTGGCGCAGTGATATCCACCTCCTGTTTCACTTTCACGTTGGTGATGCTGATCGCTTCCAAGTGCTCATGATTCAGTCGGGAATCAGATCCAGGCTCAGCCTTCACATCAGTTATATCAACTTCTCTCTCCTTTTCATAGGATTGCTCAGAAAATTTATCAGGAAGGTGGCATGTAGCTTGAGTCCTTGAATTCTCTTGGATTCGTAATTTTTTTGTTTTTCTTTCATCGCAACTGGTAGAAGCACTGATGTCCTCTTCACTGGGTAGATTATAACTCATTTTCATGGTGTCAGTAATGTTACTCTCCACAGGCAGATAATGCCTCTTGCTGATGAGAATCTTTCTAATACTTCGTTTTGATATGTAGACATTGTCTGTAAAAGCT